ATGGATTGACACTCAATCATTGAGCCATACCAACTGGATAAGAATCATTATTGTTCATTTTTAAAGGTCTAATAAAGATATTGTGGTTATGGTTTTTAAAAAGATCTTTATAGACACTAGAGGACCGGTGCACAAATTCATGCACGGGTGGGGTCCCTCAGCCTGGCCAGCTATCGGGGCTCATCTAACACAGTCCTGATAGGGCTGATTGGGGTTTGGGGTTTGGCTGGCCCTGAGCATGGCCAATCGGGCCCACCGGCTGCGGGGAGGGACTGCGGGAGATTGGCTGTGGGAACACACTGACCACCAGGGGACAGCTCCTTCGTAAAGCGTCTGCCCCATGATGGTCAGGGTGTCATCATAGCGACCGGTTGTTTGGTTGACTGGTCCTAAGGATCACTTAGGCTTTTATATATATAAATATAGAAATATTTAAAAGTGAAATATGCCAGAGATTTTTTTCCCAGAATAATCAAGTGGAGGGAATATTAGAAGTGGAGGATGAGTCATGAGTTGATGATTGTTACTGCTGAGTAGTGGAAACTTCATTAGGTTCTATCTGGCAAGTGGAGGTTAGGATATTTAAGGATATACACTAATTTCTAAAAATTCATTTTGAAAAACGTGGACCATAAATTCAAAGACATTGCTGGGGAATGTTGCTTTTGTTTCTAAAAGTTTCAAGTTATAGATGCCTAGGTTTCCACAAAACATCAAGTTGCATCCTTAGGAATATTTAATTTAAGTATGAATAAATGAAGCATCTCTGCACCTATAGCAATCATGATTTTAAATTATAAATAAGTTAATAATAATCTCACCTCCCACCAAATGTCTAACTTCTAAAGTGTATAATCAAAAGGAAAAAGTGCAACCTAAAAAAAAGTGACTTACGTCCTATTAATTTAGTAAAGCTTCTTTATAAAAACCAAAAAAGTCTCTACATTGCAGTCATATTTGAAGCCCCAATCTAGAAAAGGATGGTTAAGATAAAGTTACATAAATTCAGGACTATCAGCCTCCTGGGGAAATCTCGGGGCTAAAATTTATCCTTCCTAACCACAAAAAGCTATGATTTTATGACTGTATAACTACCCAGGGAATCCAATCAATCAATCTTGTTCAGGTTCTTTTATCAAATTAATTTAGAATTAACAGTTTAATGGTTTTATATCCTCGTGGACCATTATCACACAACTTCAGAGAGATATTTAGGTTATTAGCCCTTTGTGCTTTATTAGAATTCTATTTTTAATTTCTCTGACTCACCAAGAAAAAATCTAAAACAAGTCCTTTATGTTTCCAGCAAAAATAAGGGCACACTGGGGCACTCCCTTATTTCACCTGAAGGGCTCTCTCTCTCAGTCCCTCTGCCCCCCTTCCTCGCACACCTACCCATGTCTGCATGCTCCAAATACGGTTTCTCAGTTAATTCCTGGCATTCCACATTCCTCAACGCCTCCACAGTCACACTCCCCTCTCTGCCCAGAATGCCCTTTCCCTCTTTCTCTAGTTCGAGAATTTCTATTCATTTTTCAAAATACCCTTCAAATGGGATTTCTTAATGCTTTACCTGGAGTTCTTGTTCCCTCTTCTGGCATCCTACTGCACTTTTTCTATGCACTTCATGAGCAGAACCTGCCAGAATAGCCTAGAGGGAGGCCACAGTGTAGGTGGTTAAGAGGATGGGCTCTGGAGCCAACTGCTTTGCTTCAGATCCCTGCTGTGCCACTTATTATTTGTATAAACTTAATCATTACCTACTCCCTTTAACCCTCAAGTTTTCTTATCCTAAAATGGCAATAATAACATTACCTACTTCGTGGGAAGGTTGTGAGGATTGAGTTATATGCATAAAGGACTTAGACCAATGCCTGGCACATTGTAAATTCTCATTAAATGTAAGCTATTGTTATAAGCACAGTGTATCAAAACTAATTTATTATCTTTTCTGCTACATTATGAACTCTCAGGGCAGTGATTTACTTCAGAGACTGTGTCTGAGTTTAAGTGAAAATAGTGTGCCGACCTTAAGCTGGGCAATTGCTAGTAGGTGTTAGGAATACAAAAATGAATATAATAAAATCCCAGCTGTCAAGGACCTTGCAATCCTGCCTATTCATACAAAGCACACATGAGGACGTCAGTGACTAGATTAATCTGTGGTGGCTAGGTACTAGCAACTCTTTTTATAGAATAAACTTGGAAACAACTTCATTTGAATAAATAGAAAACTTACTCCAAAAACCAAGGATACTAAGAACTAATAATCAACAATACTTGTAGAGTTAATAACATTGAAAAGTACTGTGGTTCATTTAGATCTGCAGACACTCTGGCTAACTCTAGAATAAAACGAGGAAATCTAAGAATCTAAAAAAAAAAAAAAAATATGCGCCACTCTTTTTTTAAATTAAAGCAAGTAATATGTTAATACAGTGATACATTCTTGCTGTAAAAACAACTAAAACTAAAATTTCTTTCCTCAAAGATAATAACTCTTAATTTTACATCCTCTTTTTTTAAATTTTTTTTATTGATTTCAAATCAATAAAAAGGGAGAGGGGGAGAGAGAGAGAGAGAAACATCAATGATGAGAGAGAACCATTGATCGGTTGCCTCCTACACGTCCCTTACTGGGGATCAAACCCGCAACCTGGGCATGTGCCCTTGACCGGATCGAACCTGAGACCCTTTAGTCCGCAGGCTGATGCTCTATCCAAGCTGAACCAAACCAGCCAGGGCCAGAGTCTCTGTCTTTTAACAGGTTTTTAACGCATTCACACGTATTGTGATTACTGCTATGTAACTGCTAACCTGTGTTCCTCTGCTCAGCCACAGTGGCCTTTGTTCCTTCCTCTCACACATCCACGTCCTGTTTCAGGGCCGGTGTCCCGCTGTCCCTCCGCCAGTCTCCCATGGCTAGCCTTGGCCTTTGTTCGGGTCTTAGCTGAATGTCACCCCCCGCAAGGCCTCCTCTCATATTACCTCGTCACCGCCCTTTTTTCTTTAAATTATTATTACTCAAACTGATATAGGACCTGACTCTATGTCTGTTCCCTCAGCACACTTAAGCTCCAGGAGAGCACGAGCCTCATCTGTCGTGTTCATGACTCCAGGCACCCAGGCATCTTAGACTAAAATCTCCTAGTGTATTTTTGGAGGATTCATGAGTCAAACTGCATTCAAGTTTACAGCTTTTTGTGGCTTTACAAATGGCAAAGCGGGAGGGTCTGAATTCTCACAAAAGTAGCATTCATTACCAAAAATGCAGTCTGTTTAGAGAATATGAAATGCAAATTTTAGAAAGTATTGTATCCTCAAGCACCTATTTATATTTAATCTCTTTATATATTAAACATTAAAGGAAATCTATGAAGCATTTTCAACTTGGCAAATGAGGCAATTTCATTTTTGAATTGCAACAAGTATTGAGTTTCAGATGAAAATATAAAGATTTCTGTCAGCATTACATCCTGCCATTTCTGATTAAATTACTCCCTATTTGCCATTTTGGGCAAAAAATTCATTTCAAAATAGCAATTGCCTTCACAGGGAGAAAGAGAATTATTTTCCATAATTAAATAGTGCCTGCCAGGAAACTGAGTCTCTGTAGAGACTGTTGAGGGAAACATGTCAACTAGCCTGACACACACCCTTTTCTAAACTTAGTGAGATTGTCCAGAGTCCTTTCTTCACTCAACGGGCTCGTTCTTTCTTTGCCAGATGTCACTTACAAATATGCATTTTCCTATTTGATAGCTCTAGTAAGAACACAGGAAGCTCAAAAGGGGAGTAAAAAGAAAAAATTTTAAATCATGCAATATTAACAAACACATCCTTATCTTTGAACTTCTAAAGCACCTAATTGGAAAGGAAGAAAACCCCATATAAATTTAGTATCAAGCATACATTGATACTCAAAAAACTAATAAGTAAATAAGTGAACAAAAAATGACAGATGATAATGCATAGTAGATGATGAATAAATGAACACAGATTTTAAAACAAATGAACTGGGTTCTAACATGGACTCAGTAACTGATCAGTTAAATAACCTCAGGTGAGTTATTCTGGTCCTCAAATTTCTATCATTAGCTGTACAATGTGACATTTCTGCTCCACAAAAGTAGAAATTATGTTATGGAAGAATGACATCATTTCCTCAAAGCCAGTCAGTAGGACAGTGGAAAGCAAGGACTAGAAAGGCCTCTCTCAGAATCCAAATAAAATGCTTAAGCTAAGCTTTTATAATCAACAACAGAATTATGACAGAATTTAAGAATGTAAAAATTTTAAAAAGTAAAAATTAAATATCCCTAAAGAGAAAATTGTTTTCTAAAAATATTCAGAAAAGGAATGCACACTCCTTGCTTTTCCTCCTTCCCCCAATTTTTTTATTGTCTCTATTCATTAAATCTCTGTGAACTTTAACAAGTATCTGTGGCTACAGGAGAATGTTCCACAGCAGAGAAAGAATAAAACACACCCAGTTTTTCATAAGAAACTTCGGAACAACTTAATGGTCATCCATGAGCAAAATTCAGAATAATCCTCTCAGAGAGCCTAAAATGAGGATAATGGTTAGCAAAACAACAGACACTACAAGCAGCATTAACTGCCCTCTACACTAACCCTTAAATAAAACCTCACAATCTCAAATAAATTATTAAAGACTTGGCATTTTCATTTGATGACTGAACATTTCTTTTGCCATTACCAATTTCAAACTCAACAAAAGAAAAATGGCAAGTGAATAAAGGATTTTTAAAGTGAAAAAGATGCTGCTAACTGGGAGAGCCAAACTATTTAATGTCAGTCAAATGTTGCTGTCTCAAACTCCTGAGGCCCTCAGCCCCAGAGCTGCTTCCAGAGCTGGTTAGAGGAGACCTGAAACGCATAGGAAAATGCTCAGGCACTTTCAGCGAAATGACAGAACTGGATGCGTGATACTTCAAATCGCTTTCTCCAGCAACATTACCACTTCTGACACTACTTACAAACTCATAGTCTCCATCCTGCGGTACTTTCCAGTCTGAAGAGTTCAGTGGGCCAGACACACTCTTGCCAAAGCTGTTGATCTGATTTTCCTTTTCTTTTTGTTCAAAGTATTCAAGGAAAGATGGTTTTGCAGGCTGCATGGTCTCATCCCTTCCTGAAAACCAAGAAAAAGAAAAGGTGAATCATAATGTCTTAGCTTTCAGATAAGTTAATAAATATATCTATCTCCATTCAGATGGATTCCAGCCTCTAGATCTGTGGCTGCTGGGTTAGAGACTTCTTTAAAAATCTAATGAAAAGCGCAGGAAAATGCACAAATGTTCACTGAAAATATTCTCATACAATTGCAAAAGACTTACAGGCCCTTAAAATACATGCAAAGATGTCATCAGTGTCCCCTTTTCTAGGTGAAAAACTTGGGTGATACAATAACTTTGTATAAGCTGCAAATAATATTTTTCAGTCCCCTATAGCAAATAGTCCCCGTAATATTAGACTGAAAACAGAGGAGCAAGCAAAATATTTATTAACCATCTACATACACAATGTTCTCTACAAGCACTACAGTAGGAAAGGAGGAGTGATTCAGTAGGGTGACTTCCCTTCATAATCCCAATTGGACTAATGAGAAAAATCTGCATGAAAAAGTATAAATAAATCACAATCCACACCATAAAATAATATGTAACTTTTAAAATACCACTTACAAATGGTTTATGGTAAAGTTAAGACTGAAAATGAGATACAATATTATATTACAGTATGATATAATTCTGTAAAATCACATACAGAGAGAAAATAAACAGACTAAAAGAAAATATATCAAAATGTTAATAAGATTAGTCTCTGATAGGATTGTAAGTGACTTTATTTACTTCTTTTAAATATTTTTCTTTTTTTATTTTAAATAATTTTTCATTTTTCAATTACAAGTTACATATATTATATTAGTTTCAAGTGTATAACCCAGTGCTAGACATTTATATAACTTATGAAGTTATCACCCTGATAAATCTAGTAGCTATATGACACCATACAAGTTCTTTTAAGCCTTCTTATTTATTTATTTTTTTATTTTAAAAAAATATATTTTATTGATTTTTACAGAGAGGAAGAGAGAGGGATAGAGAATTAGAAACATCAATGAGAGAGAATCATCGACCAGCTGCCTCTTGCACACCCCCCACTGGGGATGTGCCCGCAACCAAGGTACATGCCCTTGACCGGAATCGAACCCAGGACCCTTCAGTCCGCAGGCCGACGCTCTATCCATTGAGCCAAACCGAATTCGGCTAAGCCTTCTTTTTTAAAAGAACATAGTATAGAATATGTACTATCACATATTAAATAGAACAGACAATAAGAATTACATCTGACCAGAAGATGGGGAAATCTCGTAAGTTGGACTGGTCAGAGAAGACATTCTTAGGTTGGGCCTCAAACTATCCCTAAGAAAAGCATCAGCAGTTACAGAACAGGACAGGTATGTATGAAAGCAGCAGCAGACAACAGTTACTAGTTACAATAAGTGACAATAGCAAAAAGAACAATTTTACTTAGCATGACTTAAAAACTTAGCTAGCTCAGCCGAAACCGGTTTGGCTCAGTGGTAGAGCGTCGGTCTGCGGACTGAAAGGTCCCAGGTTCGATTCCGGTCAGAGGCATGTATGTTGGTTGTGGGCACATCCCTGGTAGAGGGTGTGTAAGAGGCAGCTGGTCGATGTTTCTCTCTCATCGACGTTTCCAGCTCTCTCTCGCGCTCGCGCGCTCTCTCTCTCCCTCTCTCTCTCTCTCTCTCTCTCTCTCTCTCTCTCTCTCTCTCTCTCTCTCTCTCTCTCTCTCTCTCTCCCCCTTTCTCTCTGTAAAAAATCAATAAAATATATTAAAAACAAAAAACAAAAAACCTAGCTAGCTCAATGAACCTATTTCATATGTTGAAGTGGCTTTGTGCAATTTTTCTTTAGTGCTTTCCATGAACATGTGGATCTATATAGCCCTCTCCCCAGTAACCAGAAAAAAAGAGCAGAAGGTACAGAGCCTTAAGAAGTGGATGGGCTATGTATGGTGCCAGTTGGGCACTAGAAATATTGGGGAAGCACTCCTTAAATTGTAATTATTACTATGTACTTCTATGATGCTTCAGATCTTTAAACCAAGATGAAACACTAAAGATAGTTTTTCTGTAGTTCAATTCTAAAACATGACATAAATGCTCTGGCTAGTATGGCTCAGCTGTCCTGTGCACTAAAAGGCTGCCAGTCTGATTTCTGGTCAGGGCACATGCATGTGTCACCAGCTTGATCCCTGGTAGGGAAAGTACAAGAGGTGTCTCTCTCTCTCTCTCTCTCTCTCTCTCTCTCTCTCTCTCTCTCTCTCTCTCTCTCTCTCTCTCTCCCTCCCTCTCTTCTCCCCCCCCCTCTCAAAAATCAACTTTTAAAAATCTTTAACATTAAATAAATAAACTTGGCTTAAAAATAAAAGGAATATGTCTATTAAGCTAGAGTATAACCATTTGTCTAATATCTATCTCTGATTACATGAGAATATGAGGACATTTGCTTCCACATAATGGTCTCATCATAACTTCATGACCGCCATGTAAATAAGTAGGAGGAAAGAAAATGTGCACTTATTAGGCACCTACCAAGTGCTAGACAATGTACTATTTCACTTAATCCTCAAGTCTTTTGAGGTATATATAGTTATTTCCACCTTCTAGGTGAGAAATTTGCCATCAAGGATAGAATATCCTTAAACCCTCATCATCAAGTTTGAAGCTTAGTTTGCTCCCTCTCACATTGTAAATTGTCTACAACCACAGTGAAAATTCCTGACCTGTCAGAACTGCCCTTGAGTGTAGAAAGAGCAGGGGAACGGAATTTTCCCAGTAACCTTATCTTTAAACTTTTCCTTCAGCACTTCTGCGCTAGAGGATCAAGCATGCTGGACAACAGCCTGTCAGTGCTGCAAGCGTAAGAGAATCATTCCAAGCTGATTAAAGGCAGGGCTGTCCCCAGGGCTTCAGCTGGCCGCTGGGCTTTGTGTTCCAATGGGAGGGAGGGCATTTTTTTCAAGTGTATCCCAGGAAATGAAGACGTTCGGTTGAATGATAATACCAGAAACCTGAAGCCATAGGGAGAGCAGAAAAGTCATGTCTTGCTGGGATTCTTTTATCTGATGGAGGAAATGCATGAATTCCTATATTAGGACTGGCCCATGTTTCTTTGTAAGCAGCTTCTGTCCAGCTAAATGGATGATCTGTCTAAGCCCATAGACAAAGGGGTGAATTCATAAGTAACTGTAGCCTATACTTATTTCCCTTTGAAAAAATGCTATATAAAAGCAAAAGGGCCCGGATGAATCAACTGATGAATGAATAAATAAAATGTGGTATATCCACACAGTGGAATATTATTCAGCAATAAAATGAAATGAAATACAGCTGATACAATATGGATGAACCTAAAATGTTCTGAAAGAAGCCAGTCACAAAAGACCACATAGTCTCTATTTTTTGTGAAATGTTCAGAATAAACAAATCTGTAGAGACAGAAAGAGGTTAGTGGTTGCCTATGACTACGAGGTTGGGGTAAGTAGGTGGGATATGAAAGAAAGTTCCTTTTAGGAGTGATCAAAATGTTCTAAAATTAGATTGTAAACAAAATAGAGTATCTAACCATACAATGAAATATTATTCAGTCATAAAAAGGAATGAGGTACCTTGAAAACATTAAGCTTAGTGATAGAAGCCAGATACAAAGGCCATATTTTGTGTGATTTCATTTATATAAAATGCCCAGAACAGGCAAAGCCACAGACACAGAAAGCAGATTAATGGTTGCTTGAGGATAGGGGAGGGGGAGGACTGCTAACAGGATTGTGGTTTCTCTTGGGGGTGATGAAAATGTCTGGAATTCAACAGTGGTTATGGTTGCACAGCCTTCTTAATACACTAAAATCCACAGAATTGTAACTTTAAAATGATGAATTCTATGATATGTGAATTACACCTCAATTAGAAAATAATAAAATTTTTAAAACTAAATTATGGTATTGTTTACACAACGCTTAAAATACACCGAAAACCACTGAATTGCATGTTTTATTTTATTTCATTTTTGCATTTCAATAACTTTATTGCATTGTAGATCCCCTAATATCAAAACATAATGGTAGTTGGTTAGGTTACCTCTGCCAACTCAAAAATAACATACATGTAATCAAAATATTGAAATGTATCAGCCTTTTGGGGAAAACTGGAAAGTTATCTACAAAATATTGTTTACAAAAGTATAAGATACACTGTGGTACTTTAGTTTATTTTCCAGTGCATATTTATCCATAGCATGATGTCAAAATTGGGTACAGTCATCCTGGATGGACTCAGGCTACACACGGTACTGAGTAACCATTTATAATACTTTTAATATTGCAGATCTCCTTATATTCACTGACTTAAGAGAAAGTTCTGAATGCTACATAGGCCACCTCATACCTATTAAGATGTGTATTTACTTAAGACCTTCTGTTGACAGAGTAGGAGAAATTAGTGCAAGTATATTCTCTTCATTTTAAACAAGATCCTAAATTAAAAGCAATGGCATAATTAGTTCCTGAATTACACACTTTAAATGAGTAAAGTATATAGTATGCAAATTATATATCAACTAGAGGCCAGGTGCACAAAATTGGTGCACTAGAGGGATGTCCTTTAGCCTGGATTGCAAGAGGGCACACGATAAGCCGAAGGACCCCCATTGGTGCACGATTGGGGACAGGGAGGGATGCAGGAGGTTGGCCAGCTGGGGAGGACCGTGGGAAGGCTCCAGGGTATATCCAGCCCATCTTACTCAGTCCGGATCGGCCAGACCCCAGCAGCAAGCTAACCTACTGGTCGCAGCATCGGCCCCCTGGCAGTCAATGCACGTCATAGCAACTAGTCAACTAGTCAACTGTCTGCCCCTGGTTGTCAGTGCACATCATAGTGAGTGGATGAGTGAACTTAGAATATCATTAGCATATTACGCTTTGATTGGTTGAATGGCCAACCGGACACTTAGCATATTAGGCTTTTATTATATAGGACTAGAGGCCCGGTGCATGAAATTCATGTATGGGGGTGGAGGGTCCCCTCAGCCCAGCCTGCACCCTCTC